TACTCCAAATAATTCCTACAAAAATTTTTCTATAATTATCTAGGGAATCTCTACAAGGTCTATTACATTTGGGTCAACTTCGGCCTAACCAAAAAATCTGGGACTCGGGTAATTGACAAAGAGTTGGGCCCAACAGTTGGTGTGTGATATTTTATTTATTTCCTTAATTCACTCATTTATTTCCTTAATTAGCGTGTTTACTTCTTTTCCTTTAGTTACTATCCTTACTTTTCAATTTCTTACAACGTTTTTCAATTTCTTGCAACGTAAGCATACAAAAATTATTTCATAATGTATTATAATTTTATAATTAATTTATGGGGAAACTACAGATAAATCCCTAATCCAAAACTCAAAACACAGATCAGTCCCTAGGTAGTTTCCCCAAGCAATTCAGTCCCTATTCACGCGTCTGACATGCAGATCAGTCCCTAATGTTAATTTTATATATTTTATTATATTTTCTCTCTTCTTTTTCACTCTCACCATTTTCTCTCTCCTCCTTTTTTCTCTCTTCATTTTCTCTCTCTTCATCTTCTCTTTCTTTCTTCTCTTTCTTCATTTCTATCTGCTCTCTTTCTTCTCTATTTCTTCTCTCTTTCTCTCCTCTGGTTTCCTCTTTTTTCCGACGAAAAAATCACTGTAAAACCCACCCACCCAACAATGGCTACAAATGATGTATCTAATGATGTACCCACAGTGATTCTTGGAAGTTGTCGATACAAAGATCAACTTCACATTATTTCCATCAAAAGTAATTCGACCTTAATGGAGATATATGGTGCTATTATCAACAAATGGAATCATATCCATCCATATGCACTGATCCTCCAATACTTGGCTCATCGGGAAAGATTGTATGTGACATTGGGCAGTGATGAAGATGTGGAGAATATGGTTGCATTGCATCTGATAATGAAGATGAGTGTGGTCGACATTGTCGTGATCCGCAAAGATGCTAATTCGCGTGGAAAGAGGGTTCGCACCGATGGTTCGTGAATATAGTACGCTTTGTTCACCAAATAAGTACAATGTATAAGCTGGTAAAGTTCGGGTTATTCGTGAATATAGTACGCTTTATTCACCAAATAAGTACAATATATAAGCTGGTAAAGTTTGGGTTGTTCGTGAATATAGTACGTTTTATTCACCAAATAAGTACAATGTATAAGCTGGTAAAGTTTGGGTTATTCGTGAATATAGTACGCTTTGTTCATCAAGTAGGTACAATGAATACACATGTGAAGTACAAGTGATTCGTGACTATAGTACGCTTTGTTCACTGATAAAGTATATGTTTGTCATTCATATAGTATTGTTACACTCTATATATTATTGTCGGGCCAATGCATCCATATGATCGCATTTGAAGACACAACTCTTCAGTTTAAGACTATTAAGAATGAATGGAGACAATGTGGGAGTTGATCAATATCGATTATGGTAACAATTGAGGAAAATATTAGTTTTACACTTGCGCATTGTGGGTTTGTATGAATATATTGTATAGTATATGAGTATCATGTATGAAATTCAACATATTTATGGGATCTTGTATTCCAAATGCAACAATAATGCTCACCTACCTTAAAATAATCATCTAAAACATAATTTATGCATCTCCCGTACTTATTGATCATTAAGCGTCAATGAAATTGGTACAATTCAATTCATCAAAAAATATGGTACGCTTTGTTCATCAAGTAAGTACAATGAATACACATGTGAAGTACAAGTGATTCGTGACTATAGTACGCTTTGTTCACTGATAAAGTATATGTTTGCCATTCATATAGTATTGGTATACTCTATATATTATTTTCGGGCCAATGCATCCATATGATCGCATTTGAAGACACAACTCTTCAGTTTAAGACTATTAAGAATGAATGGAGACAATGTGGGAGTTGATCAATATCGATTATGGTAACAATTGAGGAAAATATTAGTTTTACACTTGAGCATTGTAGGCTTGTATGAATATATTGTATAGTATATGAGTATCATGTATGAAATTCAACATATTTATGGGATCTTGTATTCCAAACGCAACAATAATGCTCACCTACCTTAAAATAATCATCTAAAACATAATTTATGCATCTCCCGTACTTATTGATCATTAAAGCGTCAATGAAATTGGTACAATTCAATTCATCAAAAAATATGGTACGCTTTGTTCATCAAGTAAGTACAATGAATACACATGTGAAGTACAAGTGATTCGTGACTATAGTACGCTTTGTTCACTGATAAAGTATATGTTTGCCATTCATATAGTATTGTTATACTCTATATATTATTTTCGGGCCAATGCATCCATATGATCGCATTTTAAGACACAACTCTTCAGTTTAAGACTATTAAGAATGAATGGAGACAATGCGGGAGTTGATCAATATCGATTATGGTAACAATTGAGGAAAATATTAGTTTTACACTTGAGCATTGTAGACTTGTATGAATACATTGTATAGTATATGAGAATCATGTATGAAATTCAACATATTTATGGGATCTTGTATTCCAAACGCAACAATAATGTTCACCTACCTTAGAATAATCATCTAAAACATAATTTATGCATCTCCCGTACTTATTGATCATTAAAGCGTCAATGAAATTGGTACAATTCAATTCATCAAAAAATATGGTACGCTTTGTTCATCAAGTAAGTACAATGAATACACATGTGAAGTACAAGTGATTCGTGACTATAGTACACTTTGTTCACTGATAAAGTATATGTTTGCCATTCATATAGTATTGTTACACTCTATATATTATTGTCGGGCCAATGCATCCATATGATCGCATTTGAAGACACAACTCTTCAGTTTAAGACTATTAAGAATGAATAGGAACAATGTGGGAGTCGATTATGGTAAGTTTTTCGTGAAGTACGCTTTGTTCATCAAGTAAGTACAAGTCTAGTGTTGACAAGGTATCTTCGAATAGACTAGGAAGTATTTGTTGCTCATTTTTATGGTACGCTTATATTCTTTATACAAACTAATTAATCGCAAAATAAAGTACCATGTGTTCAAAAGGTAAGTACATTTCATCGAAACATATAGTACAATGTATACAATGGAAAAGTACGAGTAGAGCTAATCAATAGTATTATTAGCTCTACAACAAAAGGACAGATTGTTTATGGCACAAAAACACATTCATCTGTTTGAAAAGCGATCGGTGAGCACCTGCAGCCTATTGATAGCTTGCTGCAATCTTCTTTTACATCAATTCCTGCAATTACATACACATAAAACTACAATTATAACAAATACAACGTACTATAAAGTTCCACTACTAGTACTTTCAGTAATTTCGTTCAATACCATCCAAATGCACGAGCAATTCCATTGTTGCATATGACACACACTACATTACAATCAAACATTATACTATTCGATTGCACTAGCAATGCCATTCAAAGACACTAGCAATACTATTGTGGCATATGACACATACTACAGAACCATCAAAGATTATACTTCCAGTACCCTGTGTTAATACCGTCCGAAGTCAAGAGCAATACCATTATTACATATGACATATCCCTTGTTGGGACTAAATTCTTTCGGGACAGTACTTCGATTACCCTGTGTCAATACCATCTAAATGCACTATTAATACCATTATTGCACATGACACATACTATAGAACCAGTACGAAAAATACAATAAGCCTCTTTCCAATATCCTATATGAAACCCTTGTTAGGACTAAAATGCTTTGGGGACATGCTAATGTCACCGAAGAATAATACCCATGAGAAAACTGTTACAAAATCATGAAATTCGATAACAAATAAATGATCTTTGCAAACCCAAACAACAAAACAACAGATATTGGAACCGATTTAATGATTAGGGGAAACACCGAATAAAGTCGAGGCATAATACCCATGAGTGGATATGTTCAAAATCATGCAATTCTATAACAAATAAACCTTTTGCAAGCTTAAGCAACACCCAAATGGGTCTGTTTCCAAGAAAATGAAAAAAAAAAAAAATCAAACCTTGTTGTTTACCCTGCTTCACCATTGTCTATAAATGGGTTTGTTTATTTTTATTTTTCCTTTCGCTTTATTATTTTTCTGCGTTTTGTTGATTCTTCGTGCTTCGTAATTTCTTCGTTCTTTGTTGTTTCTTTGTTCTTCGTTTCTTCTTTGTTTCTTCTTGGTCTGAAAATGAGTATAAACTGAACGGTGGTTTGAAATGTAACGGGCAAAGAGCGTGTAACACAAACGGCGCGTTGGAAGTTGAAAAGAAGTTATGTAAAATTAGTATAAAGTAAAGGGTATTTTAGTATTTGCACATTTTATTAGGGACTGATCTGCATGTTAGGCGCGTGAGTAGGGACTTAATTGCTTGGGGAAACTACCTAGGGACTGATCTGTGTTTTGAGTTTTGGATTAGGGATTTATCTGTAGTTTCCCCTTAATTTATTCAATATGGATTTTTTTTTGAGAACTATATGGAAATATTTAAATGAAAATTGATTTATTTCATATCGAACTAATACTTGGCTAATTACTACTAATATTAACATATACGTACAACAAAATAGGTGGACCTTGTTATGACATCAGATATAAGTAACATGTTTAAATTGTTTTTTATTATGAAAACATGTAATGAATACTTTACCATATTGTGGAAAGTGGAAATTAATGTTGGATAATTAATAAATTTATGTAAATAGAATAAATAATTACACGCATGAAACGAGTAAGATTCCACGTAGCTAAGGGAATTAAATAGATAGATAGATTATTAAATTTTATATAATATATAGATAGATTTAAAAAGAAGAAAATGAATTGAAAAAAATAACAAACACGTTAAATTTTTAAATCACTGTTCACCTTTGAAGAAGTTTTGAAAAAGAAAATTATAGGAAACTTCAAATTTGAATAATTGAAAATTATTTAGGCACAAAAAACATTTATAATGTATAATAATAAATCCCACCAGCATCACCAATATAGTCCGGTTCAAGATATTCTTGACCCATCTTTTAGAACAGGGCAATTTAGGTATTTACTGTATTTGAAAATACATGCAGCGGTATACATGATGAAATTACATAGGCAATTCTTTTGTCTGGTAATAAACAGAAAAAAAAAAAAAAAAAAAAAAACAGCCGCACATATGGCGTTTACAACAAAAACAACTCTCGGAAAAAGAAAAAAAAAAGAAAAGGCGCGGTAGAACGAAGCATCAACTAGTGTGGTGTACAACACATTTTACATTTACAATGATCAGATAATGCGAACAAGATTTCCGATAAATAGGGTTGGGGGTATTTAAAGTTCACCTTTCACATTACCTCTTTTAAGGAAAAGAAAAACGCGATCCAATTTTTACTTTCTGATGGAGAGAAATTCGAAGCTTCGGAGAGGGTCGTCACGAGTGGGTTTAGTAGTACGAGAGAAAGACGGCGGTTTATGATCAATGCCAGCTGGCTGGATTCTTTGAGTGGTGGATATTCGACCACCACTGCTCGATACCACTCTGGTGGTTCTGCCATCACTTGGATCGCCCGATGAGTTTGGTCTACTGCTCGAAATGGCTGCTCTCCTTGAAGAGCTGCCGTTTCTTGAAGTACGCCCTTTTTCTGAATCCGGTTGCTGCATTTAATTGAACTCATTGAAATCGCTCTTAGTACCAAGTTCAAAGTCGAGAAATAAAAAAAATATCCAGGAATTTTAATGCAAGAAAAATCACGTGTGACCAAAGTTAAAAATGACGGATGATGCCTAATTTTTTAATGGGATGGATGGATGGATAAAGAACAAATACCACATCTTTGGAGGAAGGTACATCTTCTGATGTCTTGTTTCTAAAATTTTCACCATGTCGACCTGGACCTGCAGGATTTCTTCTAGAGAAAGCTTCAACGGCACCTGAGAATCGATCTCGAATATCTTGCCCCATTGAAGAAAACAATAAAATCAAAAAAACAATAAGAATGTTCTAATTCATATACTTCAACGGCATTCATTTATTTTCAGGTTTCAGAATCTTCGATTATGAGTCGTATATTTAATTAATTGTCAAAAGGGATGGAAACTCAAATCATTTGACAGGTCATTTCACACACACACTGTACTTAATTACCTGATGTTCTTCCTGATCTCTCACCAGAAGTTCCCGCAACAGCGTTACCGGTAGGATTCTGCAAGCAAGTCAATGAACCTTTACATTCACACTATCAAAGATCATAAAGCAACACACGAAAGAATATGCAAACTCTTACCCTTGATCTGGAACTTGCACCAATCTGAGGATACTTCAACATAGTCCAATCGAACACATAGTCGAATTGGTAACCTGCACGAATATTTCAAAAAGTCCACACTGAGATACGATACTCAAGCAGGAATAGACAAGTAATGATCACAAAATACCGTTCAATAAGAAAATCAACAAGAGTATGAGATTAGAACATATGGTACAGTTATATTATTCATTACCTTCACGAATAAATAAATCCCGGAAAAGTCGCTTTAAATAGGAGTAATCTGGTTTGTCCTCAAATCTTAACGACCGGCAATAGTGAAAATAAGATATGAATTCTGATGGAAATGATTTGCAAAGGACCTGAAATAATTGTAAATCATGTAAGCTTTCCACAAATCACCAAATCCAGGGATTGATCGGAAAACCCTGACCAGATTTAGCATTTAGGATTAGGGGAACATAATACTTATAAGTTCTAACTAACTATTTATTCTTCAAAATAATATGGACATGCAGAGAAGACTAACAAAAGATATTCTGCACATTGCATTTTCTTTTCCTTTTGGTTTCATGTGCATTATGCATAAATTAACACATGGTACGTAGTTTCAAATGGTTAAAGGAGTATTACTCCTCAACCAAATCTTATTGCGGCAGGCAGATCAAGCACCACGATTAGTTTAAAGTTTCAAACCGTCAAGTATTATTATCCACACACTGAAATCTTAAAGCAGCATGATCAATCCAGAAATTCAAGTGGATTCAATAAAATAGCAGTAGGTATTCAAGACACAAACTTATACAAATGAACAGAGATAATTAACTGTTGTTTTCTAGCAGCATACAATTGTTTAGCATACCTAGGAAAACATACGTCGAATCAAAGACAACCTACATAAAAAATGCAAGAATGGATATTTATATGAACCTCTATAGGAGTAAGCATTTTCTTCTCGCTAATCTTGTCATATTTCTGTTTTTTGGTGCCAGCTTTAAGTCCCTGCCAGGGAAGACTGAAATGAAGAGAATGTAGAATAAGTAAAGGAATGCCCAAAAAAAAAATCAGAACAGTGACGGACAAGGATCCGAAACAAAGTAGGAAAAATGAAAGAAATACGAAGGTAGGAATTCAGCATATATGACCAACCTCCCTCTCAGAAAATACATTAGGACATAACCAAGAGATTCCAAATCATCTCTTCGACTTTGTTCTGCAAGCATAAGTAAATCAAAAGCAGATAAAGGGATTAATACTGAGTTCCTGACACAGAAACAGCTTGTTTTGTATGATAAATCACTCACCAACTCCAAGGTGTGTATTGACACTGGCATAGCGAGCAGTACCAGTGAGATTCTTGTTTTCTCTGCAATGAGATGTTAAAAGGGATACTAGGTAAGTATATCGAAAGATAAACAAAAATACAGATATTTGTCAGATACACTACAACTATATCCTGCGATATTCCTATATAACGTCATAAATCACTCAAGGCCCGAAAAAGCATAAAACCCAGATCAAAGGAAGTTACATCAGACCTCCAGGATCAATCTCATCCATGCCATCTTTATCTCTATAGTTAAAAAATGTGAAAAATGGATAATTCTATAGATATAATTTTGTTAATTCTTACACTTGAAATTTTAATGTTAATCATCGAAGTTGTACTTTGGTTTAAAATGGTTTGCCAGAACCCTATGAAGAGTAATAAAGATAAAGCAAGAAAGGACTCCGTTACCATGGGGAAGAAAGATTATCTATTACATTAACTAAGAAAAATGTTAATTCAAGAACATAAGATGTTTAAAATAATTTATTCCTGGCTCTATGACTACAGTAAATCTTCCAGATAATATTTGAGAAGTCAGTATCCTGTAGAGCACACCAGCACTGCGCGATACAAATGGATTTCAGGCAAACACTCATGATTGCAAAAGCAATTAAACACAGGAGATCAATGGCTTCATAAACATAAATATATTCTCAACATTTACAGTTCATCTATGTGACATGAGCATAAGCTAACAAAACGAGCATTTATGTCTTATACTTTAGTCCTACTCTCTTCTCTTTCTCCCAGACACTTTCTGAATTATTTTCTTTCACGCGTTACTTATTTGTAGGCCTCAGCACAAAAATAGACTGGAGATCTGAGGCAAACAATTAATGTTACTTCATAAGTAATGAAAGACCAATGCATCACTTCATATGTCCTAAAGACATGCAAGGGAAAATACTTCTATGTTGACCCAATAAAAAAATAAGGAAAGGTACCTATACGGAATGTGCTTATGAGTCTGAAGATCCCTATACTTTTTGGCAAGACCAAAGTCAATGGCATAAACCTGCATAACATATCATTAGTGTCACAGACAATGGGAAAATTCAGATAGTAGTCTAGCCATACAATTAGGTGGTCAGGTTTAAATTTCTAATACAAAACATACATAACTCATGTGCAACGAGTCAGACATAGAATTGAGTATACTACAAATATCACACTTAGAATAGTAGTAACTGGTACTGAGATAGTCCATTGGAAAAAGTTCTGTCCAGAAAATGTTCATATTTTTGGAGATCTCAACAAGTATGAGTAATAAATTTGGGATCGCGGTAACATCTTACACCAGAGGGAGAAATTTGAGGAATAGAAATTAAAAAAAATGCTCAAGGTTTAATACTGGAAAGATGTCAATAGAGTAGCATGCTCGAACGACAAGTTTTTTATTGGTTTAAAAAAAACCAAACTCAAGAAAATTGCATAGTATATCCTGGGGAAAAAAAAAGAAGAAAAAAAAAAGGCATGCCTGATTTGCTTTGCGCCCCAAGCCCATCAAAAAATTGTCAGGCTTTATATCACGGTGAAGAAATCCTCTTGAGTGCATGTACTCAACTCTATTAATCTGTAAATTACAATCTTCGCATTATAAGTGACGTTGGTATACAAAATCCTCAATCTAAGGAAAGGCTTAACGATCACCACTTACTAGTTGATCTGCAAGCATTAACACTGTTTTCAAGGTAAACTTCCTGTTGCAATAGTTGAAGAGATCTTCAAGACTTGGGCCCAGAAGGTCTATCACCATGACATTATATTCACCCTCAACTCCGAACCATTTCAAATTGGGAATCCCCGCTATATGATAAGAGAAGCAAAAGAAAATTATATTCATATTCAGAAAATAACTTCAGCAAGCCAAGATAATTAAATCTTGTGTCTATATGCATTTAAATGTGTTATCTAAAACTCAGAAAGAAAAAGAAAGGGATGAACAGCAACCTGTCTTACTATCATTATCAATGCAAACAAGTATGCAGTATAAATCCAACTTCCAGAAAATAACCTCATAGCACCTTTCTACTTTTCTAAACGGTCCAAGGGTCGTAGAAGCATAAAAGCAGATCAAGCGATTGCAACTCTATCTCTAATTAATTTTAGCGAAAATACTCAAAAACAAGTGAACGTTGCATAAGAAAGTTGCAGCAAATAGGGCACTAATGTTTCTAGGAAATCATACCTCTACCTCTAATCAACAAATCAAAGTTTATGGTCAATCATGATGCACTTAGTCGTATTTGATGTGTAATGTGTTTGTACATTAGTCTGCCGACAAACTTGTGAGTGTTGAGAGAAGGGATAAAAAGGAAACAGGGAAACTTACTTCCTCCTTGGAGAATCATATATATTTTTGACTCATAGTGAAGCTGTGGATGCTTGGTCTTCACTGATTCCTGGTAATTGCAGAGTAGTATAATTCAATAGATGGTATGATAAGCACATGTATCAATCCAAACAATCGATTAGATTAAACTTCATACAACACAAAGAAGGGGGGTCGGTTTAAAATAAAAACCATACCAGCTTTATGGCTACTTCTTCTCCATTTTGTATGTTCACACCTACATCAACAAAGCATACCGATTCACTTCCGTCGTACAAAAGAAACACACTAGCAGCTAACAGTAATCCAAGAAGGAAGAAAAGCTAAAATTAAGCAGTTAACTAAACAATGACAAAATAGGTAGTACCTAAAAAGAGTTCACCAAATGAACCACACCCAATTTTCCTCCCAAGCTTAAATTTCCCACCGACAACATGATCCATGGCAATCGACTCAATTCAACAAAACCCTCAATATTCCAAAAATTTAACCCCTAAACACCGAAAATAATCGACAATTCCAGCCTCTAATCGGGCTTCAAAACAACCCGACTACGAGCCTGTAAACGTACGAAACAACGCGATAAAATGCCAACTCCGTATCCGCCACAGTGGATCCAAGAATTCAACAGAAGATAAACACCGATCATGAGATTCCCCTTTATTCCCTCCGTCGACCTACATCCTTGAAAGACAAACCCTAATTGAAAACTCTAATTCACAAACTCATGACCCCTCCTCATTGATCAAAACCCAAAATCGACCGACCAAAACCGAAGATGGATAATTCTATTATATTATATATATATATGGAGTAGATAAAGTCTACCGCTGTCGAAATTATTACAGGAACGAATCTGAAAAAAATAAGAAATGATTATGAACAATTCAAAGGGGAGACAGATGACCGAAAATTGAGGAATTAGAGAGAGAGAGGGCGAGGTGAGAGAAAGAGAGAGAGAGAGAGAGAGAGAGAGAGACAATGGGGTTTGGTGTGTGTGTGTGTGTGTGTGTGTTTTTGTGTGTGGAGAAAAGGAATATGGGATGAGAGAGGAAACGATTGATGATTGATTAATGCGGTGTGAGTGGTGGCTGTTGCTAAAGCAATTATTTCATTAATAATTCTTTTATAAAACAAAATAATTGATAAAAAAAATAAAATAATAAATATGCAAAATGTGATATTAAAAATTTAAAAGTAGAATAAATCGTCTGGATATAAACGTTACAATATTTATATCAAATTACCTTAGATAAAAAAAAAAAAATTGTAGCCGACAGTAAAACTAGCATAAAGTGCAAATACACATAGCAGTTCGAAATAATTACAACATATAAATATTACAAAAATCAAATGTCGATGCCACCTCTATTCGTAACTCTTAACATTACAGCGTATAATATGAGTATTAATATCACTATTAATCATAATATTGATATTGATATTGATATATATACGGTTACACTCTAATTAAATATATATTCTATGATTTAAAAGAATTAGGTGAAGTCCAAGCAGAAGCAGTGTACAAGCTAGTATCCTTCCACCCCAGCCTAAGTATTCCATCTCCCTGCACCAAACTATATCCATTTCCATAATTATTATTATTATTACCATAATTATTAGGAAACATATTCACAATCAACTGCGCCTGCGCCATCGAATTCGAGCTCATCGGAATCTGCGAAAATCCATTCCTCGAAAGCTCACTCCTCCAATGCCTATACTTATCCTCCCCGCTCCGGGCGGGCCCGCCGACCGCCAGCACATTATTAATCTCCCTATGCATGAGGCACTGCTCGACCCGGTACCGACCCGGATCGTCCACGGGCGAAAAAGACCCGATCGAGTCGAACATGGTTGAGTAGTAGTGGAGCGACACCACAAACCTATCTAGAAACGAGCCGCCATGCGCTATCTCCTGCTCCACCAACGTGACCACCCTGGGCCGCACCCTGTGCAGGAGGCCCATCAGCCTCCTGTCGGGGCCCGCTGCATCGTACAACGAGTGCTGCATCCAGTGGACCGCGACTGTTTCGTTCGAATACGTCGGTATGTCTTCGATTTCGCCGCATTTTTTGTTTATAGGCCGGAAGTCGAAGCGGATCCCGACCCGTTTCGCGAAAACGGATAGTTGACGACCCGTTTCGGAGAGGAGATCCGGGTCGGGTCCGAAAGCGGTCATGCGGACGTGGGGCGGGCCTTCGGGTCGGGTTGATAGGATGTGGAATAGGGCGGGCCATTGGAGGCCCTGCATGATGTCGATATCGATGATGTGGACACGTGTCTGGCGGTGGAAGGCTTCTAGAATGGCTTGATTGGAGGTGAAGTGGGAGAACTTGACGAAGGGGGAGAGGTTGTTGTAGATTTGGAAGGCGGAGTAGATGGCGGTGGTGTTGTGGACGAGGGGGGCGGAGACCCCTATCCAGGAGTTGATGACTCTGCTTGACATGGCTTTTGCGAAGTACGCGACTACTCTTTCCGCGCATGAAGCGCTGTATGGGGATGCGATTTCCGTCAGCTCGAGGAGCATTCGTCGGGCTTCGCCGAGATTGTCGACTGATACGGCGACAGCACATTCGAGTAGGAGGGTGATGAGGTTCAGGCCGGCCGGTTCGTCGTTGGCGGCGGCGGCGGCGTCTGGTGGTTTGGTGGTGGTTGCTGGTGGTCTTTTGGCATTTTGGAATTCGTCGAGATTATTAGTGGTGGTACTCCAGTGGTGGTGGGATCCCGGCGTGTCGTTGGGGCTGTTTCTCGGGATTTTTCTCGGCCTGAGCTCGCTGAGAAGGGCGGCAACGGCGGCGCCCTCGTCGTACGCTCCGGTTAGATGGTTTTCGTTTTCCGGCAAGTCTTCTATGAGTTGCTTGGTGACGTGCTCCACCCAACGAGAGAGCTCAGTCGATCTCTCGGCCGGATTCTTGACGGAACTAACGCCGGAAAACCCGTCTCCGGCGGGATTCAACTCGTGCTGGGGTTGCATCGCATGCACGAATTCAAATGCAGATAAAAAAAAATTGAAATATAAAGAAATTATAGACGAAGTGGGAGGGGCTGCAAATGGGTTTGCAGGCCAGTATTTAAAGGGGAAGAAATCGTCAGAATTTTGAAGTGGTGAATTTATTTTAATGGAGATATATAGATTGGCCGGCATAGTTAGACAAAGAGATGATGATAACAGTTAGCTGACAATTAACACGTCGGTTTTAGGTATTTAATTATGACTTTTGTATAATAATAATCAATTACTATCTTTTTTTAATAAATTAATAACCAATTACTATGGTTTTTGATAAAGTTAATCAGAAGTCATTTTGTCTCCTGGGTTTGAGCAGAATAAAAAAGACTGAATAAAGTATTTGCAGCTGAATATGGAATGTACAGCACTACTGTTCACTTGTACAGAATTTTCAAATTATAAATCGGTTGCGTATTTCGCTTTCGTACAATACTCTGTGGTTTTAAAACACGATTACAAAAAAATAAAAAAATAAAAAAATAAAATAAAATAATAATTACGAACAGATGGATCTGTCGATGAACAGCTTTTGGTATGGTTAGAAAGAAAACGGCAAGGCACTGAGGTTTTTTTTTTGAAGCAAATTAGGTACAAGTATGTTCTACAGAATCGAAGCATCCGAATTTGAGCGACGAAAGAGAGCTAACCCATCATTTATCCCGGAGCATTTGTTGAGGAACAGGAGAGATTAGCAGTATTACTCTGTTTTGTCAATGTCATTTTTCGGAAACTTTCGTTGTTGAAAGGCAAAATATAAATACATAAAGCATTCACAGAGATTTATTGATCGCCTGTCTCAGATGATTCTGACTCGTCCTCTGTTAGAAGATAACATGAAATGTAAGTTTGTAGAAGTGGACATAATTTACGATCACAAAAAAACCAAGGATATATACGTACCAAAAAGTGATTTGATTGTTGGCCTCTTTGACTTGGTAGTTTTCTTCTTTAGTTCAGCTGCAACGAATAAAAGAGATTAAATATCAAAACATAGGCATATGTGTGTGTGTGTGTGTGTGTGTGTGTGTGAGAGAGAGAGAGAGAGAGAGAGAGAGAGAGAGAGAGAGAGAGAGAGAGAGAGAGAGAGAGAGAGAGAGACCCATTCCAGGAACTTGGTAGTCATTAACAATTTCAAAGTTCTTATATGTGTAACCGACAAAGTTGATGTCCTTGGATGAAAGCATCTGGAAGTGAAAAGAAAAATAAGCTCGAGAAGAAAACAAAGGACTTTGCAAAATGTTCGCTACTCTAATGAGCATCATCAGCACCAGAAATAAGCCTTACTAAACAAAATGATAGAACAGATATCAGGGCAGGCAATTGAAATTTATAGATACATACGAACTTCATCCGACAAAAAATACTGCAGCTAAGTATCGGATGCATTACATGTATAATGAGTATATACGAAAATTAGTTACTATTTCCAAATATACATCCACAAAGTCGGAGCAGCACAGTACCTTTCTCCATGGACCAGACTTTGATGAAGTTTGAGCATGGTGGTGCTCAGACTGCAGCCAGTGAAACAATTGTTGTTAGTTACATCTCTTTCACAAATCATAAAAAAAATTAAAAATTAAAAAGATAATAAATGTTTCATTTGAACAAGGACCAATAATACCTCTTCGAACTTCTCAAAATTTTGGGTATCCAACTCGTCTTTAACTTCAGGAATAAATGCAGCGTCCATATGGTATATGTTGTCCCAGTCAACTCCATTGAACCAAGGATGGGCCTAGAAAAGCAAAAACTTAACCTAATTTTCCGTAATTAGGTAAGTGATTAAGAACTTTGCATAGAACACAAACTAGTCAATACCTTTATTTCACCCGCCCCCTTCGAACCAAGCCGCTGGTTGACACTACAAAGTAGTTTGCTTATAAGGTCTTTTGCTTCCAAAGACAGTTTGGCTTCCTCGGGAAATTTTAAATGTGTTCTCCAGTTGACTATCTGCATGAAAGCAAGAAGTCCAAAATTAAATTCATATTTTTTTTATTTCATCTTGATTATACGATGGCTATAAAGACGTAAAGAAATTGAAACAACCCCTGTTTTACCTTCCTACATGTTGACATAGGATCATCAGAATAGAAGGGTGGATAACCCACAAGCATTTCGAACATGATAGCACCAAGGGACCACCTGCACAACAAAGGAAAGCCTTATTCTCAAATAATAGCTGGACGAAATCAACTACGCACCCACTTAACCTAACAAAAATATAAGGGGATCGGTAAGATCATAAAAGAAGAGATGTTAGAGGGGAGGAATCAAGCAAAGAATATTTAATGAGAATGTAAAAGTAATTTTATAACGTCATTGTTATCCAGAGAAGAAAAGACGATCAAAATCTAACACGTGCACATGCATACTTTAATATATGTCTAACATAACCCGAAACTTCTATGAGTAAATACGAACTAACCAATCACATTCCATCCCATAACCCTTCTTTAGCAGAACTTCAGGAGCAATATAATCGGGTGTACCGACAGTTGAATATGCCTGCAGTCAGCAAATAGAAACTAAGAAAAAGGGCTTCCAATGCATTTGCAATTATTTGAAGAACAATATTGTTCGGGATTGAAAACAAGAAACGCCTTTCGCCTAACTTACAAGCATTCTCCTATTTTTCTGCCAATGTTGCAATTGTTCTTGTTGTGAGCGTTTCGGAGCTGAGCGATCATCACTTCTTGAAGTTCCATTAAAGCTGTCTCCAACTGAAAAGTCTTCTTGTATAGTACTACAGTCTAGAGGCTTGCACAGACCAAAATCTGATAATCTTAAATGACCATGTCTATCAAGTAGTAAGTTGTCAGGCTTGATATCTCTGTAGCAACCAAACGTAAAGAAAAGAAGTCAGGCATACGGAGGTAGGTCGATGAGAATACGGAAATACACCATGCTGAAATCAAAATAAGCATTCAATTAGAGATCTACAGACCTATGTATATAATTGTGTTTATGGATAGATTCTATAGCCAAAACTGTCTCTGCTACGTAAAATCTGGCCTCGTCTTCAGTCAAGGTATCTTTTCTCATTAATAAAGTCATCATATCTCCACCTGGAAGATATTCCATGACAAGATACAAATATTCCTCATCTTGGAAAGAGCAATACAGTTTGACAATGCAATTACTGTCCACCTCCGCTAGCAGATTCCTTTCAGCTTTCACATGCTCAACCTGATAGATGAGAAGACCAGTCACATAGTAAACGTAATCATATCAGAATCATCTGAAGAGCAATAATCAAGTACCTGGCCTCTACGAAGCATTTCCGATTTCTTAAGCTTTTTCATTGCATATACGGAACCGGTATTTTTCTCCCTGCAGACTCTAACCTGTACAGGAAAATGCCCAATCATTAAGATTTTTCCCTTTCACACCTGTCAATAAAAGACAGAGAGATCCCATAGGCCATAACTCTTGGGATAAGCTTCTAAATTAACAATTGTAATTTGCACCCAAAAAAGTCCCCCGATTAACCACCACACACTACATTATGTAATCAGTACGGAAAGTTGACAACTATTATCCTTTGCTTCAGCAGATGAACAAAGTGCTTGAAAGTGAATAGCAGCGGGACAAAGAGGTATTTATACCTTTACTAGGAATCTCTCCTAACATCACAATTTAGCTAATAAATTCAAAAATTACTCCCAAAACACAGAGGTTATGACGTTATGTAATTAGGAGTTGGGACTTGGATAAGTTGAGGTCCAAACACAAACAAATATTAGGAAACTTTCATGTAATATCAACCAAAGCAAGTGACGGTAACCGAGATAGACATATTATTTGCAGAAATCTTTACCTCCCCAAAAGCACCCTTCCCAATCATTGTCAGTAACTCAAAATCATCTGCGCCCATCTTATGCCTCTGAAGGCGCATATATTCAGTTTCCTTCTTCTCTAAGAATTTTAATAGGTTATTTTGATCTTCCTCAGATACATCAGCATCAGCTAGCTTCTTTTCAAGTAAATTTCGCCTGTTAACAAAAAAAACGTAAAAATGATAGTCATTCGTAACGAGAAATATAAGAAGGAAAGCATAATGCAAAATTATTGATTCAACAAACTCAATTAATATACCGTACCGCTCTCTCCTTTCCTGAAGATTTCTCATCTGCTCCTTGTAATGATTTTCAATGTATTGCTTTGCAGCAGCAACCCTCTGTTTTGTGAGGTTTGAAGCTTCCTCACTCGAAAGTGCTTTTGGTTCTTCTCTTCCACTGCCCATTGAATCCTTCTTTCTAGTCGATGACCTCAATCGATCTCGTGGTTGAAATTTCTGGAACCAACTCCTCGCTGAATCCATTAATTGATTCTCCTCAAGTTAAGAGGTAATTTGCACACAGCTTCCCTCCCATGGCTGTCATCATAAACGGACACCATTCATATCATCCCCAAAATACAAAACCTAACAATGACAGAAAACCAATCTTTAGCACTCAGTTTATATCCGAACAAACTTTGCCAAATCTCTGGCACCACGACAAAAATGCCCCAAATTGCCAATGCAAAACATCATTTTAGCACCGAGCAAGAATATCGAAAATACTATCCTGCTACAACTACAAACCTACAAATATCAAATTATCGTCAAACTTTTCGAAAATTCCGTAAATTTTAATCCACATTATTCCAATACATAAAAAAGGAATTCACCAACATCGAAAAATTGATCAAAGACGAAAAGAATTGCAAAAGGCACAATTCAAATAATCATGATAATACCTTGATTCTCCAAATTGGGAAAGTTCTGAAGAATTCACCCAACCCTGTCGAAAACCGATGAAATGTCAGAGGTCAAAAAAATTCCACAATTTCGAATTCATTCGATGACAAATGCAAACACAAACACAAACCGATCACAAAAAATCCTGTTCCCCGACACAATTCTCAGAAGAAAGAGAAAAATAAAAAAAATAAGTAATTAACTCATGTAAAAGGGGGAAGAGCAATCGGCAGAAAAACCGGCTTACCGCCAAATCTTAAGAGATGGAGAGATAAAACCGATCCGCGAAATACAACCGTGCACGTATATATACATACAAAAATATATTATAGAAGATTGATCGGTTGAATGTAAATGATTCTCTGTATATATAAAGATTAATTTATTAATCCGCCATTTTCGCTGGTTTGGGGGAACAAAGGTCACCTTCGCATGATCTAACGTTTTCTCCACTATTTATAACTTCTCTCTCTTATAAAACAAAAAAAAATCAATTAAATATATATTTTTTGTAATTTATATTTGTACTTTAAAAAATAATTAAATAGCATATGGATTAAATATTTGTATTGATTCTATAATTGGGTTTAGTGGGTCAAAATTCTGTCTGGAGTTGACTAATTAATAATGCCTTCTTCAATAACAACTGTGAAGAATAAAGTTTGGTGATGCAGTTGGATTACATTACTACAATATAATTATGGGGTATTTAATTTTTCATATATTATATATAAATATTGGAATAATGTTTGTCAGTAGAAATTGAGGCCCATTTATGCCCAAGCCCAAATGAGCCCAAATAGGAAAATTGGGGCATGTTATATAATAATATATATTTTTTAATATGTCAAAATTATTAATTTGAGTATATGGTTAATTTTTTTTTTTAAAAAAAAAAAAAAAAGTTGTATACATAGGTCAAAATTGAAATAAATTCTTAATGCACAATGTCATTGGCGGTTGGTTGTCTGTGGTTGCAACTTTCCTCATAACCACTCCAACTTGTTCTATGCCTGTATACAGTGGTGGAGCCAGCATAAGGTCGGGGGCTATGGCCCCAAACATTTCTCAAAAATTGTGTACAATAGCATTTCTCGAAAATTAGGTGAACGTATCACCACTTGTGTACATTCTATTCGATGATTGATGCAAAGAGACACAAAAATTTATTACAAGATGTTGGTAAATCAAATGTGAGTATTAAGTGTAAGAAAAATGAGAATGCAAGGAAAAAGAATGATGCTTGTGAATGTGTTTAACATTACTTGGAGTGGGAGAAATATGAGTGTATCCAAAATGTGTTTGGCAAGAAATAGTGACAACTTATTTTAGTTGGTGTTCTTGCTATCAATCCCACTCACCACCTGCAATTTGCAAAATATTTACTCACTTCTCTTAAAAGTCGAAAATACACGGGTTTGGGTTTATTGCAATTAGTACCCATGTGTTATATTGAATTGCTAAAAAGTACCCCATGTCATTTTATTAGTAAACAAATCCCTAAACAGGGGTAGTAATTGCTAAAAACAAAAAAATGTAGAGTTTTTTTAGCAATATAATAACTTGAGTATTTTTTAGCAATTCGATGTACATATGAGGCAGTAATTGCAATAAACTAAAAGAAAAACATGTGCACACCTGAACTTATGTTTTTGTGTGTGTGTGTGTGTGTGTGTGTGTGTACAGATAAACGGTAGATGATTACACGATGCACGCCACTCGATTTAGCAGCTATAAGATCGATTCGAGGGTTTCACAGATATATTGATATACATGGTTTAAGTAAGATAGAGAAGAAGAATACTTATGTTAAATGTAATGATATAAATGATTAAATAAAATACAACTCCATTGGATTTCCAAACCATGACCTAGAAACAAATAGAAATAAACAGCAGGCACAACATATAGTCTTTTGCTACATCAGCAAAGAAAAAAAAAGAAAAAAACCGAAAACTTCTGTAAATGGTAACTGGAGACGCCTCAGACGTGCTATAGTTACTATTATTAAATCATGAATTTAAATCTGAAATGCAATGCAGTGAAATCAGCGGTAATACGCCATGTGTCTCGAAGACCTAAATGGAGAACTATCGAACGGAGAAGATTTTTTTGGTTGAGGAGTCGAGTTAACTTGTGTCTTCTTTTTCTCAATCTTAGTTTCGGATCGAAGCCATGACTCAACCACCGAGAGCAAATTCAAGTTATTCTTCAGTTCGTTCAGATCAGATAGTTTCTGTGACTTGTTCAAAACACCATCTTGAACGTAAACAAGATCAGTTGCCCATGTCTCCAGCCCGTCAAAAATGTGAGTTGCGTAAACAATCGTTGCTCCTCTCTGAAAATCAAAACAAAATTTAGGTTCTTTTTATTTATTATTATTAATTTTTTTTTACCAGGCAAATTTCAGTTGTACGAATTTAGGAAAGGATTAGAATTGTAATTTGTATTTACCTGCTCACACTCTTCCTTGAAAAACTCCAGCAGATCCATCCTAGCTACAACATCGAGATCGACAGTGACCTCATCTAGCAAAAGTACCTGAATAAATAGACAGACATTATTACCAAAATGACCAACAAACGAGACAATTGTGAACATAGACCAACAAACATGTTAGTCACTCGTTTATGGAAATTATCAGATAAATTCTGCCCAAGATTGATTTACTAGCATATTTTGTCCATTTTATGTGAATCCTCGTAAAAACACACACAAATTCCTGTACTGGAGAGTGAAGCAAAACAAGAAAGGGTACGTTTCTAAGGCAGCATATAAGCAAAACCTTAAGATATGAACTGAGCTTGAAATAACGGTTATTTTGATCAGACAAGCAGACAAAAAAAGTTACCTTGTATGGGTGAAGGAGACCCATGCAAATTTGGACTCTACGCCTTTGACCATCGGAAACTTTATGCATCCTCCAACGAAGATCAATATCCAGCAATTCGATAAGCTTATCTCGCCTAACAGGGTCAACTCCTTCAACTGGATCATTATAAGAAAAAGCGAAACACCCTTATTAAGAATTCTCACTGCACTTAACCAAAGGCAATTCAATAATCATCCTAAATATGAAAAAAATAACGCGACGGATTCTAAAAACTGAAATGACAGCTTTTTTTTTTTTTGTAAATTAAAATCTACAATCAGATCCAAAAAACTGAAATGACCGAAAAAAAAAAAATACATATACAGTCGACGCACCTCCAAATATCATATGTTCCGCAGAGAAGTCTCCTTGGAGCGGCAGTTCACCCTAAATTTTGGCAAGAATGGACAAAGAGAAACTTAAACCAGATTCGAAAATGCAACTAAACCCACTACCATAATGCTAGCAAAGCATAGTATTACTAATATTTTTAGCAATTAATTAAACCAAATCTGATGACCCCGTTTCCATACCAGATCGTGAGAAAATTGAAGTGGCAAAACGTATAAATGCAGAATACACGAGTCCAGAACAAATAACTATTTCTTGCTAACTAACAAAAATACCATTTAACACCATTGGACGCAACTAAACCCCCTACCGTAATGCTGTCAAACATAGTTATGTCTTTGAAAAAATTCTTGTGATCCCATTACAATACCAGATCGCGGTAAATATTTAAGCGGCGAACATACGAGTGCAGAATAAATCACAGTTTCTGCTAACCAACAACAATGCCAATTACCAACAACACCCGATTTTACAAAATCACAATCACAATAAAGTTGATAGATCCAATGGGCTATGGAAACAAAAAATAAACAATTAGGAGATCAATTGAAAGGGGAAAGAAAACTCACAGCAGATCCCACAGTTTTGCTCCATGATTCACCCAAATACGCCAAATCGCCATTGCAAACGAGACTCGTGTCGTGAAAAGCCGAACAATTCAGCACCCTCACCACATCTCTGCCGCCAACCATGTGCTTCCCGGCCAATATCCTCAGTAGAGTCGTCTTCCCTATTCAAATTAAACACAAACACTATATTAAAATAAAAAAAATAAAAATAAAAAAATAAAAAAAAAAGCCCGCGGAAATCGAGAAATGCGAACCAGATCCATTTGCGCCGACGAGGAGGCAGCGTGATCTGGGGGAAATATCGAGATTGAAATCGAAGAACAGAGGGGAACGTATAGCATCGTAGGAGAATTGCATGCCGCTCACTTGTATGCTGTGTGATTCTTCCCCCATTTTTGTGTATTTGTTGCTGCGATTAATGAGATCGATTGTTTTTACTTTCAGTTTTTTTTAGCGGTATGTATTTCTTTTTATAACGGAAATTTCGAGTTTTGAAGGCGGCGCCACCAAATAACCGCCGACTGGTTTAAACGTGGTGCCCGAGCATATGCAATGGCGGGTAGCTTGCCACGGGGTGTCTAGATCAAATACATGGATGGAATTCAAAGTGGCAAAGGGAATTGCATCTACCCTCATTGATTCCATTGCCCGACGAAATATAAAATTATTAACTGCAAATTCCACTTTCCTCCTTATATTCTGTCTTAGTATCACTTTACTCCCTTTAACTTTCAATTATATCAATTTACCCCTAACACCGTTTGTTCTAAAACTTGAAAATTACAAAAATGCCACTCCACCTAGTTTTTTTTTTTTTTTTTTTTTTAAAAAAGAACCACACCATTCTTGTAAAACAATGCCAATATTTCAATATATATATATATATATATATATATATATATATATATATATATATATATATATATATATATAATAAAAAATTACATTCAATATGGCCACGCCCGCACTATAACCATATCGTCTGTTGGTGTTTCATCATAATTACGAAAGACACCGTGTTTGTTCACTGCATAAGTATATGTGTGATGATATCCATCTACCCATCCATCATCGTACGCATCGAAAGCAATCGTCTGTTGGCCCCATCAAAATCGATAAAAGAAAAGCGTATTTCCCCAAAAGTTGCTTCTGAACGACCAATTGAAATACTGACCAGTATAAAGATGACGATATCCAAGATCGTCTTTTTTAGACGCACAATGAACTGATAATGCCGGGGTACCTTCTCGCATTCGATTAAAATTTTTGATTAGATGCCTCCTCATAGCTTCACTCTCATGACAAAAGTTCAATGATAAAATAATTAAGAAAAATATAGTGATGCTTGGAGGGGACATGATTGAACTAGTGATTTGCAATATGGCCACCCCACCTAGTTTACATAGTGAAAATTATTTAAAAAGTATTTTGTATTTTGCTTCGATATTACTTTACCCCTTATATTCTCAATTGCATCGATCGATTTGCCCCATGTACTTGAAAATTTATCTCAATGTGGCCACGTCTTTAGTTTTCACACATTTTACCTTAACACCATTTGATCGAAGTTTAAAAATTACAAAAAATGTATCCCTCCCAATTTAAATAATTATTAAAAAAATAAAAAACAAATTGTGGTTGGCGTCGTGGACTATGTTTTCTCATTGTCTTGAATTTTTTATTATTTTTTTTTTGTTTTTTTTTTTAATTATTTTAGTAATTTTCAGACTTAGATCAAATGGTATTTTGTTTAGGTCACGTGTCTGAAAACTAACGGCGATGACCACATTGAGACAATTTTTCAAGTACATGAGGGCAAATCAATGCAATTGAGAGTAGAGGGGGGTAAAGTGATATCGAGCCAAAATACAAGGGGAAATCGATGCAATTGAGAGTACGAGGGGGTAAACTGATATCGAGCCAAAGTACAAGCGGCAAATCAATGCAATTGAGAGTAAAATGGGGTAAACTGATATCGAGCCAAAGTACAAGGGGATAGTGGAATTTACCCTAATTTTAATTGTGTAATAAATGATATTGGGTAAATTCCACTTTACCCCTTGTACTTTGGCTGAATATCACTCTACCCCTTGTACTCTCAATTGCATCGATTTGCCCTCTTGTACTTTGGTTCGATATCACTTTACCCCTTCTACCCTCAATTTATCAATTTGCCCCCCTGTACTTTGGTTCGATATCACTTTACCTCTTTCTACTCTTAATTGCATCGATTTGCCCTTGTACTTGAAAAATTGTCTCAATGTTGCCCTCGTTGTTAGTCTGAAAATTACTAAAATGTCACCCCTCCAGTTTAAATAATTATTAAAAAAAAAAAAAAAAAACCAAAAAAAAAATAAAACAAAATTTAAGACAGCGAAAAAATATAGTTCACGACGCCAGCCACATTTTTTTATTTTTTTTATTTTATTTATAATTATTTAAATTGGGAGGGGTGGCTTTTTTGTAATTTTCAAACTTAGATCAAACAGGTCAAATGTATGAAATCTAACGGTGAGGGCCACATAGAGACAATTTTTCAAGTACAAGGAACAAATCGATGCAATTGAGAGTAGAAGGGGGTAAAGTGATATCGAGCCAAAGTACAAGAGAGCAAATCGATGAATTGAGAGTAGAAGGGGTAAAGTGAAATCGAACCAAAGTACAAGGGGGCAAATCGATGCACTTGAGAATACAAGGGGTAAATGATATCCAACCTAAGTACAAGGGGTAAAATGAAATTTATCCTATTATATTTGTATTTTAAAACAGCATTTGAAACATTTTAGTTCCCGCTGCGACCAATCCTAACTAACCGACACGTGCACCCACAGCACGGTTTCAGAGGGGAGAGCTCTTCACTCGTGTGTGTATATATATATATATATATATATATATATATATATATATATATATATAAATATATAGACTGCTGGGAGTTACGCCATACATACACATACAATACGCACTATACAGAGAGAGATCAGAGAGACTAGAGAAGATATAAGAAAATACGTACGGCAAGATAATCGCTTGAGCAGATTTAGGTCAATTCTCGAATCATCATCATCTAGGTTTGCATGAAACAATTGATTTGGGGATTTCCGTTCAATTCTCGGATCATCATCTCTCTCTGTACATGTTCATGAGAAATAATTTGATTTGGCGTTTTCAGTTTATTTATATTATATTTGTCACCAAATTATATTTTCATGAATATTTTATTTTCACTGACTGTTTTTTTTCCTGATTTTCATCAAGATAATATGGAAAACAAGCTGATCGAAGCAGCAATTTCTGGAATCGAGAGATAAGAGGATTATCAGCTAATTGACGCAGAGGAGAGACAGCAGTTAGTGGAGGATAAATCATTGAAAGGTTATTAAATAGATCGAAACAAATAGCTTGAATTATCATTATTTATTTATTTATGCTCCATTTATTTTCTGGAGAAGTAATTCTGCTAAACTTGCAAGTAGAATTTGATACATCCTTGACCTGATATGGACTTAATTTATTCATAATTTTTTGTTTTAATCGGTAGCGGTAGAGAGATGATTGACTTGTATTAGCATCACATATCCTGACAGCATATTCGTATCGTGTTGTATTTACGAGATTACGAGAATTTTGTGTTTACGAGAAAATTCTACTTGTTCGAAATAAAGTTTCTGAATGCGCAGTACTGTCCTTACCATATTTATCATTTCTATGAAGCAAACTTTTACGTTAGTTTTCCTCTTGTTCGATTATATTTTTTCTTATTTCTGTCATTGTATATTTAATAGGGACTACGGTCGGCACTCAGATTCAAATGTACGAGAATGGCTTGGAGAGGTACTCCGAAATTCATTTATTTAGCAGAAAATTTTTAGTGATGGAAAATTTCACCCGTCATTTCTTTTTATAACGGAAATTTCGAGATTTGAAGGCGGCGCCACCAAACAACCGCCGACTAGTTTAAACGTGGTGCCCGAGCATATGCAATGGCGGGTAGCTTGCCACGGGGTCTCTGGATCAAATACATGGATGGAATTCAAAGTGGCAAAGGGAATTGCATCTACCCTCATTGATTGCCATTGCCCGACGAAATATAATATTATTAACTGCATATTCCACTTTCCTCCTTATATTCTGGCTTAGTATCACTTTACTCCCTTTAACTTTTAATTATATCAATTTACCCCCTAACACCGTTTGTTCTAAAACTTGAAAATTACAAGAATGTCACCCCACTTAGTTTACATACTTAAAATTTCTTTCAAAAGTATTTTGTATAGTTAATTCATATAAAACCGAATTTCGAATATTTTACTTCGCCCATCCTAACTAACTGACAGGTGGACCCACCAGACTGGCTGAGAGGGAATGTAGCACGGTTTCGAGAGGGAATCTAGCACGGTTTCAGAGGTGAAAGGTTTTTGAACGTAACTCTGCGTGTGTATACTATATATATAATGCTGGGAGTTGGTTACGCCATGCATATGCAAGACCATAAAATTGAAAATTTCGAAAGAAAGTCTACCTACTCATATTTATACTAAACCATACAATTGCTTGGATTTGTTTTGATGCTTACTTCATACTCATATTTATACTAGGCCATTTCATGTAAATCTGTTTGATCTAATGGATATGAGTAGTTGTTCACTAGAACACTCTAAAGAATTCCTACAAAAGATTTTACAAAAAGTTTTCTAGAATCATCCTGTAAGGATTTGTTTTGATGCTTACTTCATTCTCATATTTATACTAGGCCATTTCATGTAAATCTGTTTGATCTAATGTATATGATATGACTAGTTGTTCACTAAAACACTCTAAAGAATTCCTACAAAAGATTTTACAAAAAGTTTTCTAGAATCATCCTGTAAATCTATACAAGAGCCTATTATATTTGAGTCAACTTGGGTCTAACCGTATTTAGGCTAGGGTGGTACTCCAACCTCCCCAATCCAAGAGAAATTGACAAAGGGTTGGCAAAAAAAATTGGTGTATGATATTTTATTTATATCCTTAATCCACTCATTTTTTTCCTTAATTAATAAGTAATAATTAATTGCTTGTTTACTTCTTTTCCTTTAGTCACTAATTACTATGCTTCCTTTTCAATTTCTTGCAACGGAAGCATACGAAATTTATTTCATAATGTATTATAATGTTATAATTAATTTATCCTATTTGGACATATTCAAATGAAAATTGATTTATTTCATAACGAACTAAAACTTGCTAATGCTCTATTATTACTACTAATATTAGTATATATATATATATATATATATATATATATATATATATATATATATATATATATATATATATATATATATATATATATATATATATATATATATATATATATATATATATATATATATATATATATATATATATATATATATATATATGCGTATTATAATGTTGTAATTAATTTATCCTATTCGGACATATTTAAATGAAAAGATTTATTTCATAACGAACTAAAACTGACTAATGCTCTAATATTACTACTAATATTAACATGTATATGCAATAAAATAGGTGGACCTTGTTATGACATTTGATACAAGTAATATGTTTAAATTGTTATTTATTATGAAAACATGCAATGAATATTTTACCATATTGTGGAAAGTGGAAATTAATGTTGGATAATTAATAAAGTTATATGAATGGAATAAATAATTATATGTATGAAACGAGTAGGATTCCACATACATGTACCGAAATCAGATGCTAGAGGAATTAAATAGATAGATAGATTAAATTTTATATGTTCCGCAAGTAATAGTTCAATTTTGTCATAATTTTTTTAGTGCAGATCTCAATTGACTTACATATTATCTGTTTTATACATGTAAGTTCGGTATCATGTAAAAACAAACAGAGGAAAGAAAACCAACAGACAAGGTCAATAAATAGAAAGAATAAATAGAAAGAGGAACGAACAAATGAAAAAGGACTCGATCGATTGCCTAAAAGTTCAACTAACTTTGGCTCCATTCCAATTGAAAGCGGATATTCTATCGATTGACTAAAAGTTCAACTAACTTTGGCTCCATTTCAATTGAAAGCGGATATTGTTTAGGTGCGGATATTCTAAGAAGCCCGTCCACTGTATAGGTTGCCATTTCGATCGGCGTTTATCGTCGAACTTTTCCAATCTTTGTATGCTTAAAGCTTCCAAATCTTGTCTAGTTTCTTGTTTTTCACTTACTAGAGTCCACAAGTACTCCGCGAGTCTCGTCTGTTCAACTTCTTTCTTTAAGTGGCGAATATGCTTGAAAACAGGGTGAGTTATGTTTATCGGACGACAAATACATAACAAACCATTTATAGTGGATGCAAGTGGAGATAAGCGAAACTTAAGCAGTACCAAATGCTCCACCACGACACGTTTATTATTATTATTATTACCACCACCGTTAACAAAGTCGAGTACTAGAGTAGTGTCTTGTGGAATGAAATCTGCAAACCTGTGATAGTTATCAACAATCAGAGAGATCTCGGACTGACGTAAAGCCTGGAGCAACCGACTTACGTTGAAGAGCCACGACGAAGCATAATCTCGTCCCGCACCATTAATATATAGTGTGATGTTCGACCTCGTGCAAGCTGGTGCGAACGAGACGGATGGGATAAGTGTTCCTGAATATTCAAAATACAATAGGTTTGGGGCATCAATGCAACAAACTCGATTATATCGAGAGGATCGCGGCTTTAGAGTTACGTACTTTAGATTATTGAACTTATGCCCCCCGTGAAAGTGAATCGCAGCAACGAAGACAATCTTGATTGTCTCAAGAGTTTGGACGTCGTCGTGGATTTCAACTACCACGATGGTCCTTTCATCGTCGTCGTATTCTTCTATGTGATTGATGAAAGTGAAGTGGTTGAGATGTTTGTAAAGCCTCTTCTCCAACTTGATAGTTTTCAAACCCCGACACCCTTCCAACGACAAAGTTGTAAGCAAAGGGCAGCTCAAGACCATCTTGTCGAAACACTCTTGCTTGATGAACACGTTTTGGAGACTAAGTACTCGTAGACGCTCGCATTGTATCTTCTTGTCGATTGGTAGTATTAGATCGTATACGAAACTAGGATATTTTCCGGAAACAATAGAAAGACGAAACTTGTCGAGTGTGGCGCCCATGGTTGTGGTGAGTACAATTGGGATCCACTTATCAAGGACCAATACCGATTCCTCAATTTCGTCGTCACGATGATGTTCGTCGAGGGGCAGGGATATCGAGAGGTGGAATTCCGACAACGGCTGCGCGTCGACGGGATTGCGGTATCGCTGCAAAGTCTTCTCCACTGCGGAAAGAAACTCATGCTTGTTTCCTCTGAAGGCGGTCTCGGAAAAATCAAGATTGGGGCGAGTGCACCACACGTGCCGCCATGACTTGGACAAGACGGAGGTTCGGACAGCGTCTCCTTGTGACAGAAAGTACACTATTCTTTGCAATAACTCTTCTGGCAAATCGGATATACTCTTCCCCGTAGAATATTCGGAACCATCTCCATCTACTACAACCCCTTTCGCCCTTTTCATCATGCCTCTCTAACCCAATCGACAAACCCTAAATAAATAATATAATGTTGTGTTTTTTCTGTACGTGTTCTTTTTTTTTCTTCTTTATAAGTATATATATATTTATATTAATAATTGCTTGTTAGTAAAACTTTCCTTGATTTTTGTTACACTTTTTAATTTCTTTTCACTCTTTCCCCACAAAAAAATATATTTTTAGAATATTTTCAAAAACTTTCTCCAAAAAAAAAAAAAATCCAAATATTTCTGTCTCTACAAAAATCGAAGACAGAGGGGAACGTATAAGATCATAGGGGAATATGCAGTGACAGAGGGGAACGTATAAGATCATAGGGGAATATGCAGTGGCAGGTAGCTTGCCACGGGATCTCTAGATCAAATTCATGGATGGAATTCAAAGTGGTAGGGGAATTGCTAAGATCATAGGGGAATATGCAGTGGCAGGTAGCTTGCCACGGGATCTCTAGATCAAATTCATGGATGGAATTCAAAGTGGTAGGGTACTTCATTGATTATTGCTTATTGCTAGGGGTGCAAGTTGGAACGGAAATTTCAATTTCCGCCGGTTACGATGCGAAAAGTTCCGATTTGAAATCAATAAGGAATATTCATTGGAGTTCCAAAGTTGAATCCCTCCTCACATTAGTGTTATGTAAGAGGTACAATTTGCTTAGACCAAAAAAAGAATAACTGAGTAAGGAAAACAGGCACAGTCCATCAATTTTACATAGATAAAAATGAATATATATATGCATTTTGGAAAGATAGTGGTGTTCATCAAAATACTAAAATTTCCCGTGCATTTTCCGACAATTTCATATATGATATTTCTCATCTTTCCTTAATACAACAGCAACAAAACGACACCAAGAAAAGAAGTTCGCGGTTCGAGTTCAAAATGCTGCCCAGCCAGCTGCAGAGGTTTGAGGAGAACTCGATCCAGCATTCGATGGAAGGCTCTTCTGCAAAACAAGAAGCGTTATTCTATCATCTTCGACATTAGCAACTACCGGATAAAATGCATGCAAGTAACGAGCTCATCATCTAATATCTTGAATCTGCTGTTATTTTATTTTGAAGCAGATAAAATGCATACAAGCAAGAAAGCTCGGGAATACATTGGTCTTTGCGTAATGCAGATTCAAATAAACTATTCCGAGAAGATAAACGACAAAAAGAAAACGTAACAGCTAGATGCAAAAATGACTGCTGTAAATTAAATATAACCGTTCAATCCTAAAATGTTTCGTGTATAGAACTGATATCGGAGTTTCGAAGCTATTAATTCACACAATTTACTTTTTCTTTTTTCGGTAAAAATAAATTAATACCTCAAGTTGAGAGAGATCAGAAAGAGTATCATTCGAGCGCCTCGGATTCTCCTTGGGGCCCTTCAGAGCAGCGGCAGAAGCATCATTGGGTGGAGGAGGAAGAGGAGACCTAATTTTGACCGCCCCGATAGGTGGTGGGGCAAGAGATAGAGCTTTAGGTTTTCCGGTTCCAGAAACTCCACCGGACAATACCGCAGCAGAAAGCATGCCTGCTCCACTTGATGATTTGTTCTTCACATTTATTCGAATCGTTTCCCCTTCCTAAACACCAACCAACGATAGTTTAGTGAAAATTAGGTTAAGTAGTTTATATTTAACGACTCAATAATACTAATCGAATACCATTTATTAGCGAAAAGATAAGAAACTCAATTTCGTCAAAGTCAGGAGTTCAAGAACTCGTTCGTTCCTACCTTTTTTCCGGAACGAACTCGATATTGCCTTTTTTCTAATCTTACAAAATGTCTTGAAAATTTTACAACAACTCTACCAATCTAAGAATGTTACCGGTAAACGGAACATGTTTAATTATCGTAGTCTCAGAATCATCAATGCACAATTACTAATATCATCCACAAGAAATTAGGAAATCGAAACAGCCCTATTTCATGCTCATCTAAGGATCACATTCTCGATTTTATAACCTAATTCCACCGAAAATCGTAACAAATTAATTTAACTCCAAAACCAAATCATCAATTATTAAAAAATAAACAGATTTTTTTTTTAATTCACCTTCAATCTGTGATGAACAGCAGGGTGAATACCAATATGCCCTTCCTCACCGCCACCATCACCGCCACCGGCGCCGCCGCTCTCCACCTCCTTATCCCCCTCCCTCTTCACATACTTCTCGTGATCCGACAAGGCAACGTTAAAATCGAAGGCCTCATTCCTCTCATTAAACCCCAGCCCTATGAACGCGTACTTGCCACGGCCGTCCTCGATCCTGAGCACGAAGTACCTCGAAGAATCCAGCACCGATTCGACGGCGGCCTCCCTCTGGCCGGGGTTAACGAAGCAGGCGGCGAAGAGTTCGCCGGAGTTCGGGTCCTCGAGGCGGATCTCGCAGCGGGTGGCGCACGACACCACGCGGAGGCGGCCGGACCAGATCTTGTCGGACTGGAGCCACTCGCCGCACTTGAAGCCGCCGCTGGTGGGACGAGGAGGGATCTTGAACACGGAGACTTCCCGGACAACTAGGAGGGTGTGCTCGAAGGTCTCCTGCTCCTCCTCGTACGACATCGTTTCGTAGATTTCGATAGCAGTGAGATTTCTTGGTGCAAATGGAATTCGGGGGTTAATTATTATTAACAGTATTTATTTATTTATTATTTATTATTTTTTTGGTTCAGTCGGGGGAGCTGGAACGAGGAAGAAAGACGTGGGCTTTAAGCGTTGTTAGCAGAGAAATTGAAATGTCAACTGTAAGATGTGCATTCGGGTCGGATTGTTAGGGTATTGACCCGACCCGGCCAGGCATTTCAATAAAGCCTCGGGTCTGATAAAAGGCTGAAAATAATATGGTTTGGTGGGCCGGATTAATTACTTAATTAGCTAGACTTTCAGCTTCAGGCCATCTTCAATCTTCATCACCCTAAATCGGCCGCCGCCGATCCGCCGCCGCACCACGCCTTGACGTGAGAGTTTCAAATCAATTTTGGTTAGGGTTTCGATTTGGGGATAATCATTTTTTAGAGCTCAAATCTTTTGAAAAAAAAAAAAAAACAAAACAAAAAACCCAAACTACCTGACTCGACCCGATCCAACTGCAGCGGGCCGAACTGGATTTTCAGACGTGGGCTAAAAGACCATTTATTGATGGGCCGAATTCAATTTTTATTTATGAATACGGGCCGAATTAATTTTGCATTCAGTGAGATGTGTTGTATGGGCTGAACAAGGGTAGAATCGTAATTTCACAATACGTCACCCTTGGTAGACCCACTGCAGTGTATTTTAGAACTCCTACCCCCGTTCCGCACTTTGTTTTTGTTCAGTCACTGAAACGAAGACTCGAAAAAATCTTCACCAAAGTGAGCAAATTCCAACATTCATTTGTGCATATTGTAGAATTGTTGTAGTTTCGATTAACAAAAAATATCCTGTTAATGCAGAAAAAATCAATCCCGAGGTATGGACCGGAATTTAGGTATCTTGGTTGCAGCACTTTTGTTGGTGGCGTCGACCTGTGAATCCGCTATCTTCAATCCGGTGTCTGAATCTCACCGATCTGCCGCGTCTGAGCTCCTTTCTTCCGCCGATGGATCTTTCGGAAGGTTTGATTTTAAACCCTTTCTAAACCCGCCCTCTCTTCAATTTCTGAGGGATTTTATTTTTTCTTCTTGTCGATGTATTGTTGATTTTGTATGATCTGGAGAGACCGCAGTTTTTTAATGTGAATGCTGATGGAAATTGGGGAAGATTTAAGATTACCATTTTTTATACATTTTTTTGCGTATTGATAACTTGGAAGATCTGTGTTCTCAAATATTTACTGGACAATGAACTGTGATTAATTGAGTACTGTTTCATGCCAAAGGAAGAAATGAGTTGAAACTGTTGTTGTTGTGAGCTTCCAACCTTGATGTTTTAAGCTGATTGTAACGAATTTGTTGTTCCGCCTTCACACCTGAGTGTTTTTCTGCTAGATCGGTGATTTTGAAATATATTTTAGTGTTTCCTAATAAATACGATAAGTTTACGTTCGACTCTTGAGTGCGGGTGTGTTTGCCAGCCTTTTTATGTGTTTTTTTTTTCTTCCAATTGTTTGTAGAATAATATTGAAAATGTATAGATGGTTTTTGTATTAAATGCCATTCTGATTTGAATTTGTGTGAAGTTTGCAAGCAATATTGGTATTCCCCTCTTTAATTGGCCCAGAACGACAGTAGTCATTTTGTCTTTATCTCCTTTGGATCTTCCATGAAGTTAATCTTCCTTGTAGCTTTTGTGTTAAATAATTGGGCATCTCTCACCTGATTTTGCCTTCCAGTCTGGAGGAGACATATGAGGCATTAAAGACATTCGAGGTTCTTGGGATTGAAAAGAAGCCTGATATAAGAACATCCGCCTGTGTGTCTGCAGTCAAAATCCTATCGTCTACTTCTTCCGCTTTAAAGGATTTATTCCATGCGTTAAGGGTCAATGGCGTACTGAAGTGTGAGCTTAACGATCAGGCTTTTCCGGTACTGTTTTTGTTATGTGTTGTTTGAAATTTACTTTTCGTTGATGTGAAAATATATTTTCCTCATGTATTTCTTTGGTTGCAGGGAATCGGATCTAAACTTAAAGATTCTCTAAACGGTGCCAGTTCACTTCTTGATTTTTACTATTCTATTGGAGGTTTGATACTTATAAAGGTTAGAATATTTCATTAATCAACCTATTCTATTACGTTTGATAAATTCATTTATCCCAAATAGAGGAGTATAGAAGTGGTAAATCTTGCTCTTGAAACCCGGGATTAATCTATTGTGCTTATAATAATATATCTTTAACAACATTCTTGTGCTTCTCTAAACTTGTCCTTTGATTATTTCATTTTTAACTTATTTAACTTTTACGTGTTGTTGAGTTTGGTATTTATCTTATTGGTGTGCAGGACCAGACTTCTGAAGTGGATGTTCATATTAGTGATGCTGATAGAATTTTTCGCTCTATTAAGGTGAAACTTGAAGTGTTGCATATTTCGGTCAATAAATATGCTCTCTCCATGTCACTCTATTTAATATCTTTTGAAGATCTAACTTGTTGTCAACTCCGGGCAGGCTCTTAGCCAGAGCGATGGGAGATGGCGCCTTAATTCCAACAACCCTGAGTCTAGTAATGATGCCGCTGGTAATTGACGTACACTATATTTAAGCTACATGTGCAAGCTACACATAATTTAATCATCAGTTGTTTCATCACTAATATTGTTTAATTGCTGTGCTTTGTTATCTCTCATTTTTGTTAACCCACTATGATTTATCTTTTCAGGGATAGCACTTGAAGCCCTCTCTGGAGTTATTTCTTTAGCATCTTCTGAGATCGATTCTTCTCTGGTGAATAATTTTTTTCTTAATATATATAAATTAATCATTCAATGACCCATTATAACTGTTTCTGTATTAATCTTATTATTTAATCTCTTGCACGGTAACTCTCATGCTGTCCATTTTCTCTAATCTCTCTTAAAATTTTCAAGATAGATGTTCAGTAGCTTAGTTTAATATTTTGATCCAAGTCTGTTTTCAATGCCAGATTGCTACCTTGAAAAATGACATTTCGAAGCTTTTTGATGGTGTTGAAAAATATGGTTAGTCTCTCTCTCTCTCTCTCTCTCTCTCTCTCTCTCTCTCTCTCTCTCTCTCTCTCTCTCTCTCTCTCTCGCGCACGCTCTCTCTCA